TATATATATATTGTTGTTGTTGTTGTTAAATTTCTCTGTCTAGGCACAGGAAAACAACAAATCTTCCTTAAATAATTCCTCCCACTTGAACTCTACAACCAAGCCCTCATCCTTTCCTCTATAGCATACTGAATAAAAGACTTTTACAGAAGAGTGCTTAGACTATAACCTAAAACCCACTTGTTTATTGCCAGTTTCAACACTACAATCAAACCTGAATATTGTTTTAGTTTTAAAAACGTCCTACATTGACATTTTTGTCTTCAAAGAAAATCACAGTAACAGAGCTTTCAGCGATGCAAATAGCTTCTTAATGAAAGGTAAAAACATGCACTTGGTTTGTTTTCACGTGCTGTTTTCTGAGGCTGGGCTGCTGAGGAGATGCTGTGGTGATCTGGCTAGCCAGCCTACAAAGAGAGCTCTGCAGTATGCACACCAAAGGTTTGCCACCACTGGTCTGGAAATTGATTCCTATAGTTTCCTCCATTTGTTATAGGATGTGCCAAGACTCAATTGTGAGAAGCAGATCATAAATAAGACAATATATATAAAGTAGTTTATATCATGAATCTATCACAACCCTTACCTCATACCATCCTTCAAAGCACTCTCAGCAGCATGTATGTGAACCATACAGAACTTGCTGCTCTTTCACATTGCAGTCTTTACTACAATACATCTTTGGGCTCTAACTCTGTTTATCTGTCTTCTTCCCCATTAGGAGACAGAACCTATGTTCATTAGTGAAGAAGGACATAATTTATTATAATAAGATACATGAAATGTTGTAGTAGAATTATGTATGTAGTGCTATGGGAAGGAAGGCATTATCAAGGACAGCTTCTCCAAAGACTGACTTGAACCTTGATGGACACTGAGGATTTTACTGGGCACAATGAATAAGAAAAGAGCAACACAGATGGAAGACCACATATGCTTGATTTGGAGGTATCAAAGCAAAGTCTCAAAGAATTTTCAATTGTTTCTTGATGAACAGAGCACAAGACTGTAGCTGAAGACAACTTTTAAAGAGGAGGCAAAGATGAGATCACAAAGAGCAATGTGGAGTTATTTCAATGTTTTGAGGAGGAAAAGAGCATAGTCTCATAATCATGTGGAACATGCATGGGAAGAGTGTGAGACTGAAGATAGTTTTAGCGGGTTAGGCACTCATGGACGTAATAAACGACTATAGTCTGAAATCAGGAAGTAACACTGTGGGTAACTAGGAAAGTTGAGAGTTATTTAGGAAAAATAATCAACAAAATGTAACAACTGATTGGACATGGAGGAATTAGTAGCAATTTAATGGCTTCTAGTATAGTCACGTAAGCCCAAAGCAGTGGCACACTCCTATCATCCCACTACTCTCAGGAGGACTGCCACAAGTTCAAGGCCAACCTGAACAGGGAACTCAGTGACTTCAAGGCCAGCCTGAATTACAAAGCAAGACCCTCAAAGAACCAAAAAAAAAAGAATATTCTAGTATATTACTTTTGCTCCGGGAGTAGAAATACAGGATAGGTCCAATTCGCATTATTCTTATGCAACAAACCTGTACAGCTTGGTACTATACTCATTACTATAGGTAGTTGTCAAATGGTGCATAATATTTGTGTATATAAATATATCTTTACACCTGGCAAGTGCAAGGTCCTGAGTTTGATCCCTGGTACCCCAAAATAAATATATATATATAAAATACTAGGTGACAGAAATTTTTCAACTCCATTATAATCATATGGGACCACCATCATTTTACGAAAATATTATCTGGTGTGTGACTGTATTTCTCAATGTGTGCTCTTCAAACTACCTTCACAATTCTCTGTGGAGGGCCAGAATGTAACTCAGCAGTGCAATGCCTGCCTAGCAAGTGTGAGGCCCTGAGCTTTCTTCCTGATACCAAAAACAAAACAAAACAAAAAGGGCTGGTGAGATGGCTCAGTGGTCTAAAGCGCCTACTTAGAACAAGCTTAGCAAAGCACAGGGACCGTGGTTCAATCCCCCAGAACCACATGCCAGCCAGCCCGTCCCCCAGGTGGGCTGAGCTGGCCACACACACACACACACACACACACACATAAATAAATAAATTAAAAAAACATCTCCTATGGAACTAGATTAAAAAATATATTTTTTTTGTTTTGGTTTTTTGAGACCAGAGTTTCACTATGTAGTTCAGACTGGCCTTGAACTATGTAGCACGGGCTGACCTGAAACTCACCCTAGTCCTTCTGCCTTAGTCTCTCAAATGCTGGAGTCACAGGCACACGCCACTATGCCTAGCTAAAAATTACAAGTTTCTTGACCACACATCCCTCATGAATCACAAACATAAAGTGGGGGGGACACATATGTATTTTCATATCCTGCCAAATCTGAACTATTATAATTCAGCCTACACACCTATCAAATGTTACATTACTGTGTTGCTGTTCACGTTTCCTACTTTTTTAGATCCTAAGCTACATCACCATAGATACCAAACTTTTTAATATTTTTTAGACAGGGTCTTGCTAAGTTGCCAAGATGAGATCTGAACTTGAGATCTTCTTGCCTCAGTTCCCAAGACTGCTAAGATAACAGGTGTGCATCCCTGCACCCAGCTGCTCAAACTAATTTCAGATCTTCTGGCTGAACTGCAAAAGCCTTTCACCTTGTCCTAAATCTTGCCAATATGCATTTTTTATACTAACAAGGTCATCCTCATCTCTTACTTAACTCTTCCCTAACCCGCAGTTTGGCTTTTTCTCCAGGCCTTTGCATTTAATATTACCTTCAAAACCTTATACTTTCACACAGTTTTCTCCCTAGTGAAATCCCAACATCATAATATACTATTCTAAGAAGCCTAGCTTAAATCCTGGCATTTTCCTAACTATACTCTAAGCTTACTTCAAACTTGTACTGATGAATTCCTAGAAAATTTATAGGCAGCATGTATAACTTAATGTGTTGATTACTTGAACATATGTAAACTAAAGTTTTATCTAGGTTTTGCTTTCTAGTTATCAATGTACATAAAACAATTGTTGGCAAATAATTTGAATATTTAGCAATTTTTGAAACTATCCCAGAGATTGATGGCTTTTTAAATCCCCTGTAGATATCATATAAATTTTTTAAAGGAGGGGGAGGAAGAAATAAATTTTTAAACAAAAAATAGTTATCAAATATATTCACTGCCCTAGATACCTCAGTACTCCATTAATGTATCCTACCTTGTTCTCTGAATAAAGAATACAAACCTAATCAAGAATGCAAACTATTTGCAAACAGCTCTCCATCACAATACATGACACTCTTGGGTTATTATGCAATAGTATACCATATAAGTGCAGCACTGAAGTATTGTGTCCTGAGTATAAAAGCCTTTAAGTGACAGCAACAGAGAGAACTTCAAAAGAATTTAAATCACGCATTTCCATTTATCCATATAATAATGCAACACCAAAGAAATATGAATTGTCCAATGTCACAGAGTGAATTAAAAGCACCCAACAAAAACAAATACACAGGCTTTTTGAATGCAAGGCAAGGAGCATTTCCATAATACTATTTGCTCAGTGATGCTAACAACAAAGTGACATCTTAAGAATTCCCATGGACACGAGTTAATATTTTAGGAGCCTCTCTCTACAATACTAAAAACCTGAGATATAATAAATAATTTCATCAGAATCATATAGATTAGAAAAAATATTCCAGAAAATGATAAAATTTGCTATGAAAATAAATGGGCACATTCTACTTCTAAAACATTTACCAAAACTACAAGAAAAATACTTACCAGAGCTATATTCCAATCACCTTACTCAAACATTCACCTCATTGCCTCAGTAAAACAGAAACCAAAAGAACTAAACATACAAAATACAAGCAAAACCCATAATTCCCAAAAGTACAAGTTTATATCTAAGAGTGAAACACATCTTTTGTACTTACCGTAACTTTACTTCCAACTATCTGCATGCAGTGGTCAACGAAGAGTGATTATGGTGTAAAAAAAAAAAAAAACAGCAATAATATTAGTAATCAGAAGCTTTTCACAGAAGTTAAGTGTTTAGTAAATTAGTAAACAGCTCACCTATTTATAATTTTAAACTCTGTATCTAAAGGCTAAAACAAATATATCAATATTAATATCTACCTTATTTTAAAAATGTTGTCTGCCAAATAAGAGTTCCCAAATAAAGGCTAATAACCATATGAGAACACTTTCAAATATTCTGTAATAGGCTTCCCACATAGTGCAATTTAAGTATAAAGTTTTGCAAAGTGAATTATAATCTAGCATTAGATAATTTATCAGTTCATAGCCCCTCAAAAAGTTGCCAATAGAAAATTGATGTTTTTCCTGATTGCTGCTTTTTTTCTTTCCTTATTATTATAAGCATATTAAAATTCAAAAAAGTTATTTTTGATTATAAGTGTTACATTTAACCCATAAACTAAATGTAAGAGTGAACTTTAGGTTGAAAATGACTTTTTTTTAGTTATAAACTAAAGGTCTATAATATTTTCTACCCCATACTTGAATATTACAAAGATATATTGGTTATTATTCAAGTTTTCCTAGATAATCCTAGCATTTCTATCATTCTATTTTCTATTAGAAAATCAGAATTTCTATATAATATGAGGACAAAGCAGTTTATAGCTAATCATGCACATATTCATAAAGAGAAAATAGTTCAAAAAAATGGAACTTTCCTAAGAGACAAGAGTTAAAAGAATTTCTGAGAGGCAGAATTGTGTTTAGGAAAACAAGAAGTAAATTAACAATCCTAAACATAATTTTATGCCAAAATATAAAAATAAGTCAAATTACTATTATCAGATTCCTACATATGCATATAAAGCATTGTCCAAAAAAGAACTAATCCACAAATTAAAACCATTAATTTGATATCAGTTGTTATCAAGATATGTTCCGGTTTTTTTGCTGATGTTTAAAAAATAAAATCGAATTTCACTGAAACCTTTGTAAAAATCCTCAGTCCAACAGGATATCTCACAAGATGCAAATAGTTGACAGTTGCTAAGTAAATTATTTCAGAAGAATTCATAAATCTCCAAATAGAGAAGTATGATTCTTAAAACTTCATTCAACAGAATATTTAAAGGCAGTAATTATTTGGTTGAATGAAAGCTGCTTTGGGACCGTTAACATGCTTCTGAGTTGAGAGATATGCTGTTGACTTAAATTATTGCCTCCCACCAAAAAAGACACAGGTTGTATTTGTCCCTTATTTATTTAGCATAGACATGTGACCATAAAATGAATATGAGCCTGTCTTAACAATTAAGACAAGTCTATACGCAGTGAAACAACCAAAATGTGACCCACTTAATGATTCACTTGGATTGCAAAATGACTGTATTTAGCTAAAGCACATAGAACAAAAGATTAGCATGATTAGTCAAGAGAAGCTAACATTTCATCATATCCAGACAATATCTGATAGCAACCTTAGAAAGTAGTTTCTCACAAGAAAAGCAAAACCATAATAAACATACACACACACATACAGAGAGAGAGAGAGAGAGAGAGAGAGAGAGACAGACAGACAGACAGACAGACAGACAGACAGACAACAGACAGACAGAATACAACTCCTGTATTTGCCATACAGGTAAGTCCAGCAAAACTGCAGATGTAGTTCATATCACTATTTTATTTCCTATTGAGTTTTAAATCAATGATAACTCTTAACTGGTTTCTAAACCTATACTCCAACACATTCTAAAATCTCAACTTGGAAACCTGATTTAAATTATTTCTTTTTTTTTTAATTTTTTTTATTTTTATTTATTTGAGAGAGAGAGAGAGAGAGAGAGAGAGAGAGAGAGAGTGAGTGAGTGTGGTGTGTGTGTGTGGCCAGCTCAGCCCACCAGGGGGCGGGGCTGGCTGGCATGTGGTGCTGGGGGATTGAACCGCGGTCCCTGATGCTTTGCCAAGCTTGTTCCAAGTAGGTGCCTCAGACCACTGAGCCATCTCTCCAGCCCTATTTCTTAATATTATCATAAGGACACTGGCATTTGGCAAACTAGTGAGGACTTTGGTGAATAATTTTTCTGCATAAATATCTCCATATGCTGTTAAGCGCATGCAGGATCCTCTCTAAATCACCAACACATAATGTTTCATGATTACAACTTGATAGGATGACTTCTAGAATATTAACAAAGCTTAGCTTTTCATGTCTGAAAACCTAGGTTATTTTTGAAAATGCCAACTCTTGGGGCTGGGGATGTAGCACCTGCCTGGTAAGTGCAAGGCCCTCAGATCAATTCCTCAACTCTTCTAGCTTATTTTTAGACAAATGTTCGACAGACATCAACAACCTTTATACCAGATCTGTAAACACACCTACAATGAGCAAGCAGATTCCATCTCATGGCAGATAGATGCAGAAAGGAGATTCTTTTTCATTTGCCTACTGGGAGTTCACTCATCACTAACAGAGTTGCCCAAGCTACACTTTTGGACTTTAATATTCATACAACTTTATTTTGGTACTTTAAGAAGAAATAAATTAAGCACTAGCTTTGTACTCTTATGATTTCCTTAAGACTCATGTGTACTTAAGAAACAAATGGTTAACTGGAATTTCAGAAGCATGATGGACATTTGTTGAGCTCACATTTTGTTTGGTTTTAGATCACATACAAAATGACTAATGCAGGTGGCTAAAAAGAAAAATGTTCAATTTATGTTTAAATTTCACTCTAATTCTGGATGTTTTGCATATGACTATGAAACATTTTCATACCAGGGACTTCAGCTAGCTCCTACCCTTTTTTTACGTCAATATAAAAATATTTGACTACCTAGAAAGCATTTTCATACAGTAAACTACTATCATCTGCTTTAAATAAGGTTGCATTGTAATAAGCAAATTAATATAATGAAAGAGACTAAACAAGTATATATATCTAAAGCCTAACAAATGACAGATACAAGGATGGGAAGCATGGTTATAAATGGGTAAAAAGCCATACATTTGGTGATAACTGATGCAAATTTTATTGTCCTGATCATGCAGAGTTAAAAGGATCAAATACTGAATGCTATTCCTTTTGCTTTATAAAGGTAATTACATACACAATTTTCACAGTTTTAATGACAGAAACAATGCTAATTAATGTGGTCCTAAAGTAAGGAAGCTTCAAAATAGATTGCTTCCATCAACATGTATGTGTCATGAAAAATAGCCAAAAATGTGTAATCTTAGACCTTTTTTGACCTAGATGTGACACACCTGTAATCTCATTACTTTAGAAGCTGAGATAACAGGATCACAACTTCAAGGCCAGCCTGAGCTACATGGTGGGACACTGTCTCAAACAACAAAAAGAATCTTATAAATGAGCTGTGCATATACAACGTACTCGTAGGTAAATTAAAACAAATAAGGACCACATACTACTTGGTAATACTGAATTTGGGGATAGTACCTTAAACATGAAATTTTCATGTCTTTGAAGAAATAGTCCCCTCTCATCTTTACTATAAAGCAGTGTAACTGGACTTACTTAACTTTAAACAAAATGTTTGCATTTTAATCTGAAGTTAAGGCTATAACTTAAAATATACACTTCATTGGTCAGATGAAGAGAAAAAAAGCATGAAAATAAGTTCTGCATAGAGATCAAGCAATAATCAAAAGATCAAGGGAAAAAAACCATCACGCAATCTTCATTATAGTCAGCCCCACTTACACAAACAACTACAAATGAGCTAGAGACACTAACAAAATCAGCCCATTAAAAACAGACCACATGATTAGTCATGTATCATTATCTGTACTTTGCACTTGGGTTTAGCTATACAGATTCAGTGTACTTGCCTGCTTGTATTTGAAAAATAACACTGAATCTATAGCTTGTATTTCCTAAAGCATTTCACTGTGAACAATAATTTCAGTGAAAAAATGAGAAGAGATTCATCAGAATTTCAAAGTAAAACCCTATGCATCACCTAATTCTATTGAAAATGATGCTTATGGCAAATTTCACTTATCACTTGAAACATATTTCTGCCCTTGGATACAGAAGCAAATTAAAAAACATGCTGTTGCTCTGCTCTGGCAGAGCTGCAATGTGTTACATTTAAACAGTTCAGCATTCAGATTTTAGCTTCCCTAAAGTATGATATATAATCAGCACAATCTCAAAATTCAGTAATTGCTACCAGAATTACTATACTGAAATAGTATTAATGGGAGAACCAAAAAACTCTAAAATACATCTTTCCAATAAAAAATGTTTTCTTCACTGGTCAACTTTTTAAATTTAAAATATGTATGTTTTAAATATTTGTTGTATCTACACACACAGAAAATGATTTTATGAACTCTTTATATGAAAAGCTCCTTACAGAAATGTCAAAGACACACTTTGCCATTTCAAAAATATATTTTTTCTTACCAAAAAAATCAAATCTGAACACTACTTTTAGAAGCACCTTAGGAAATAAACAAAGTAAAATACTGTATTAAAACAGTATGGTTTTCCCATTAAATCCTCTCACTGAACCATATTTTCAAGAGTAGAGACTCATAGAGATTTGATTACAGTATATATTGTTCATATTAAACAAAGCTGCCCAATCCCAATTATCTAGTATCTTACACAGTTAGCATTGCAGTGAATGAAAACAACGACAAATAAGCTGGGCTTTTAAATGCATTGCTAATTGCATGCAAGCAGGCATATGACATGAAGCTTTCATGTAAACTTAAAGGCAAAGCATGCTATGTTTATGTCTTCTCTCTCAAAATTTGAATTTTTCATCCAACAACCTATACATTATGTGAAATACCTATGAAACATCAATTTTTAGTAAGTATAAAAAGACTCTGGCTCCACTCTCCCTGGATTATTCAAGATTTTCCTATCCTTTTCAGTCTACTGTTTATAATAATGAAAGTATCTCATTTCTAAGATTGAAATTTCAGTTTTGCAATATACACTAAATATGTAAGAATCAACACTTAAATTATTTCCTAAATAGTTGATGTAAATACAAAGCAGCAAGAATTTGAAGATCTGAGGTTTGTTTGCTTTTAAGTAGATAATGGTAAACTCATTGTGTTGGTGCCGGGAAAGTCTACTTACAGATTTTGCAGTAGCAGAAATATACTGGACAACCATCTCGCGCTTGGTGGTAAAATCTTTGTTCCGTAAAGGAGCTTTCTTTTCTTCATTAAGGTTCATGTCCTCCTGGCGGAAAGAATACTTAACTGTGAGCACTGATAAATTTCTGCTTAAGACTTTCAAAAAAAGATTAATAAATATCAATAATGACTATTTGTTCACATTTTAAGTCATGCTTTAACAAGATTATTTTCTGGACACTTCACTGTATTACTTTTTCTCTATATACCATAATCTTGTGCACATTTTACCATATATTCAGGGTTTGTGTTCCCAGACACCCAGTGAGCAGAAAGAAAAAATAATAATTTTAGAGCATTCCATGGAATATACTGGCAGCTTATAGTATAGACAGACATTACAAAGCTCCACCAAAACTACTTACAATATTAACCTTGTTAGCAACATAATACACACACACACACACACACACACACACACACACACAAATTACTATTTGGCATATGCTCCCTTGATATCACTATTACTCAGGAAAGCAAATTCAACTGCTAGGTTAACAAGGAATATATACTTATAAAATTACTGTAGAAAAACTCACAAGTTGATGGACTTGAAAAAGCAAATGAAAATAATAAATATACAGTACTGGGAATACACAAGTCACTTATAATGGAAAAATACTCAGTTACTGGAACACACAGGTTCAGTAAGCTTTGATTTGCTTGGAAATCCATCTTTATGTTTTGATCTACATACATAACACTTTCATTTCACAAATTCCTTTTGTTCATCTTGAAATTCATATTATTCTTTACAATACATGAAAACACAGTTGATGAATCCCAAAACCAAGATGGAAGTAAATTTGTTCCAAAATCAAACAAGTGAAAAGATAACCTTCAGAATGTATAAAAAGGCAAATGTGTGAAAAGATAAATCATGTCTGATAAGAGATGAGTAACCACTTATAGAAAGAACTCTTTGCATATCAACAATATAAAGATAAATAAACCAATTACAAATGGACAAAATATTTGCATAAATATTTTCTAAAGAAGATATTAAAATGACCAGTAAAGCTGGGCATGGTAGTAACCACCTTAGGATTTCAAATTTGGGCCTAATCTGGGCAGCTAAGAAATTTAGAGAAATCATGTCTTGGAACAAAATAAAAAAGGGGCCTTCCATGCACAGCCCCTAGATTCAGTCACCAGTAATTAACACACACACACACACACACACACACACACACACGAATGACCAATAAGCATTCAACATTATTTGCTGAGGAAATCCAAATTAAAACCAGAAGAAATACCCCTCACTCCCATTATCAGAGGTAAAAGAGGAGCCAGGCATGGTAGCACATGCCTATGGTCCCAGCACTCAGGAAGCTGAAGTAGAAAGATTTCAAGTTACAGGCATGCTGGGCCTACAAAAAAAATGTAAGGCCAACCGAGGCTATATGGTTAGATCCTGTCTCAGAAAACAAAGACAAAAATGAAAAACAAACAAATGTTCACAAAAGATGTGGAGAAAGTGAAACCCTCACACATTCATTGCTGGTGAACGTGAAATTATACAGCCATTTTGGAGAACAGTCTGCCAGTTCCTGAAGAGGTTAAATATAAATGTAGTAGCATACAATTCTGAGTATATACCTAGAACAAATGAAAAGTATTTAACATCAAAACAGATATATGTAAGTTTTTACAGCATTTTTACTTATAGACAAAAAGTATAAACTAAAGGGCCGGCCAGATAGCTCAGCATACCAAAGCACCTGCTTAGGCAGAGCACAGTGGCCAGGATTGATCCCCAGCCTGCTGGGCCGGCCCTGCCCCCAGGGAGTGCTGAGATGATGATTGAGACTGGGAGTGCAGGCGCACTCCTGTAATCCCAGCACTTCAGAGGCTGAAAACAGGAGGATCACTACAAGTCCAATCTACATAGTGAGACCCTGTAGACTCTGTACTGAATAAAAATAAAAGAAAAAAAAGTATAAACTAGCTATATGTCCATAAAATGATAATTAGATAAATGTCATACAGCCACCCAAAGGAACATTATTCATTGATCAAAATGAATAAAGTATTGATACAAACTATAAACAGATGAATGTGGGAATCACGTTATAAAAAGCAAAAGGAACTGGTCACAAAATGTCACATATTGTATGATTCTATTTATAAAAAATATCCAGAAAAGGCAAACCTACAAAATAGGGTCAGAATATCCAAAATGTTCTCTTTTAGCTACTTTGAAATACAGACTATATTATTTTTAACTACAGTTACCCTAACATAAAGAGAAGACAGGATCATATTTCTCCTATCTAAATGTAACTTTGTGCCCTTGCGCCAATTTTCCCTATCCTCTCTCCCTCAACCCTTCACAGTCTCTGGTAACCATGATTCTATTCTCAATTCCTATGAGAATATAAATGAGTGGGGATGTAAATTAATACAGCCATTATGGCAAAAAGCATAGTTCTTCAAGTACTAGATAAAGAACTACCATAAAACCCAGTAAAAGTAAGTGTATTCAGTGTGCTGAAGGGACATCTACACTTCCAGGTTCATTGCAGCATTGTTCACATAGCCAAAAAACAGAAACAATGTGTTCATCAAATGATGGATAAGGAAAATATAGTACATATACACAAGGCAATAGTAGTCTGCCATGAATATGAAATCCTGTCATTTATAACAATATTATTTTAAGTGAAATAAATTGAGCACAGAAAGACAAATGCTAATCTCACTCTTATTTAGAACCCAAAAGACAACTGGATCTCATTTTCTAAAAATGAAAAAAATCAATATTATCCTTTCACTCTTTCAGTAATTCTAATTCTTGTATTTTTAATCAAGTGAAACATGGACAAAGAACAGTAGTTTTTACATACTCATATGAGAATGTGGTAAAAAAAAACTTGAAAATTCATCCAACTGCATCTATCTATTGAATAAAGCTTGAATATCAATAATCTAAAAACCTAAAGTCTAATAAGTTTTGGTTTCATTTTGAAATACTTTACTTGCCATATTATGCTTTATTCTGGAACATTTCAGATAACTAGTTTTCAGATGAGCAATGCTCAGCCAGTAATGTCTATACAAATATTACAAAATCTGAAACAACTCCAAAATCTGAAACACTTCTGGTCTCAAGTAGTTTGCATCAGGGATAATCAACTAGAAACAACTTCAGTAAAAGCAAAAATCACAGAATCTACTTGGAACCCCCATCCCCTTCTGACTTTTATGGTGACTCATTCATAACTAATACCTATAAATTTCTGGTATATGTACATATTCTTCTTTTATAATCACCAAAATCACTGTCTCTATCTTAGTCCTTAGTTCTCATTTGTATAGCATACTTACAAATGACTACCATTGTTGAATCAAAGCAAGACCATAAAAAGTAGGCTAGACAGTACTTTTAATGTAGTCCACAGATATTCATCTTTATTTTGTACCTATTTCAACTGATAGGGAACTCAGAACCACCTTAGCCCTTTTTAGGGAAGTTTAATGTTCACTAAGTTTTTCTTTGAAGGACTAGACCTGAAATATGTACAACAAAATACTAATTATATATAAGGGTGGCAGGATTGTGCCTTTTCTTTTCCATCTCTAGTTTTAAAATCATTTATTTACTAGACATATACTATATAGGAGGGATTATGTAAGGCTAAGGGAATGTAAATTTCAAAAATTACTTTTACACTCAAATTAAATGTTACTATTTATGAAGCAATGACTGACAATCATTAAATGTTATATTACGTTTGTTGAATAAATAATTCATGGTTAATAGGAACAAATAACTATAATAGAGGCAAATGCAGGACCCTTGGAATTACAGGACAGATGGAAAGGCCAGAGAAATCTTCACCAGAATCTGGGTCATGAAGGATGAGAAAAATCTGACCAAAGGCCATGAACATAGCTTGGAGATTCTCGCGGTTATCAGTTTTTGGCTTCCCTATACATTTTCACACTACCTGACATTGGAAGTCCCATCTAAAACAAGGTAAAATTATAAAACTACATTTGTCAGCCTCCCTAATAATAGAGTACAAGCATGTGGCTTAGTCTCCACCAGTGTAATACTTTTTTTTTTTTAGGGAACTGTCTACAGGGTGTTTAGGGTCTCACTACTAGATCGGGACTTGTAGTGCTCCACCTGTTTACAGCCTCCCAAGAGCTGGGATTACAGGCGTGCACCACCACACGCAGTCTCAATTGACATCTCAGCACATCCCGAGGGTGGGGCCAGCACAGCAGGTCCAGGGAAGCCTCGGCCCCTGCACCTGCTTGCAGGCACTTTAATCCACTGAGTTACTTGGCCAGCCCTAGTGTAATACATTTAAAAGAGATACATATTTAGAAGTAAACGATATAAAAAACTGGCCACAAGTAGGTCATCCATGTTGCTGGTGTGGGTTACAACAGAGATCACATAGTTATAGAATTGCTGTTAGTAGCTTCATATTTTTTTAATACAGTTCAAGTAGTTCTAGAGTGGCAACAGCTCCTTAATTGCACTGTATTTCAGTTATGTGCTTCTAGAGTTTATTCCTATAATGTTATCTGGAGCCTGTTTTCTAACCTTCCTGATCTAAGAGCTAGCCGATATCTCTTAGGAATATACTTAAACTCACCAGAGTGGACTTTCTTGAGCTCAATGATTTGTTCTACTGATGTATTTTAAGTGACTAGTAATGAGTCCAGTGAAGAGGATGGTAGCCAGCCTGGACAAAAGGAAATCATTCAAGAACCATGTAAATGATTTTTGAAGGAAACATTATCACTTTCAGGCTGAAGTACACTTACTAGCTTGAATTTATCTTCATGTGACGTGGTTTAGCATCCATGTCTCTTGCTCTCAAATACTCTGTGGTAAATGCCAGGAAGGAAAAGACTTCCCCCTCCTTCATCTTGATATACTATATCTTTTTTTAATTAAACCTCAGATTTTATGATATTATCAGCTAAGAATATCTTTCTGCTTAGTGGAACTACATGCATTTTCATCAAAATCAATAAATTCTGCTCACATAGGCTGGGGGATATCTTTACTTTCTCAGAACATTC